CCCCCCGCAGCACAGATGTTAACACTGCCTCTCAGAGATGCCAATCATCCCCTCTGAGCAAAAGCTCTAGGCAACAGGGCACCCTCTGCAAGGAGAGGCACCTTGAGGCCACGGGGTGGCCACACTCCCTGGGGATCTGATGCCCTTACCACAGTAACTCCAATGTTGCCCGCACCCCCGCAGGTGGCCCCGGGACCTCCTGCCCCAGCCTTGGAACAATCAGCATTCTGGAGCTCTCTGTAGAATTTCGGCAATGCCACAATGGGCCTCTTTCTGCCCCAACCCCACCTCCTCTTCACCACCTCCTCCAGCTTTCAGACTCCTATTGGCTTCCAGGGGAGGGGGTGGCTGTCCTGTAGCCGGCATGGGGCAAGGAGTTCATTGGCAGGGAGATTCAGACGAGTGGAGTTGCGCTGTTCCCCACCCCCCTCACGCTAGGGCTCTTCTCTGCCCTCAGATATCATCTTCCATCCGTGGAAAAAGGAGGAAAATGGAAACCAGAGCCGAGTGATCCTCTACACCATCACCCTTACTAACCCCCTGGCTCCCAAAACCGCCACCGTCCGGGAGACACAGGTGAGCAGGCAGAGGAAAGAAGCAAGGGAGGGCGTGTTCGGAAGTACTGTCACATCACGAAGGATGAAAGCTGGACTTGGGAGATGCTTCTGGATCTAGGCTTGGTTTAGTCCGGAGGCAGCAGCATCCAATGAGCTCAGAGCTCAGATGCTGCCAGGTCAAAGTGGTGCCCACACTTTCTACCCAGGAGTCCAGGGGCAGGGGCGCTGGGAAAGGCGCGCTGTTCCGATCTGGCTTCTCCTCAGTGTTGGTCAATGGTGCTTCCCCTACCCACAGACCATGTACAAAGCGAGCCAGGAGAGTGAATGCTACGTGATAGATGCTGAAGTCCTTACCCACGATGTGCCATACCATGACTACTTCTACACCATCAATCGCTACACGCTCACCCGCGTGGCCCGGAACAAGAGTCGACTCAGGTGTGCTGTGTGAAGGCTTGTGTGTGTGTGGGTGGCGGGAGGTGTTCACTGCCCCTTGGCTCACTGGGGCGAAGTGGGGGCTGGCCTACTCTCACTGTGTGACCTCCCTGGATCCTGAGACGCCTCCCCTTCCAGCCCTGACTTCATTCTTCTTGTGTCCCATGGAGTGCTTTGCATCTTCTTTGGAAGATCTTCACCATTGCCTACTGTTCGTTTTGTATGGTTTCTATGGAACTATGTAGGTACTTAAACTACATCTGTTGGGCTCTTTAGAATAACCCAAGGAGATGAGTTACCCTTGTTTATCAGAAGAGTAACTTGGTCAAGAATCAATCGCGCCCCAATTCATACCGAAGCTTAGCTTTTAGCAATCGGACCCCCATGCCCAACTTAGTCCTGTGTGGTAGGATTCCTATTGTTTCCACTGTTGACCAGTGAGAGCTCCTAGAGACCCATCCTAATCCTAATCCTGACCTAACACAACCAGCTCTCTGCGCTCAGCCTACCGGCTCATATCACAGTCAGATGAAGTTAGCCCTGGATACTGTGATGCCCACTCAGAGGAAGGGAGAAATATAGACCGTGACCCTGGAAGAAGTATGCCGTCTAATTATAAAATCAGCACACACACCCATTTGAAAACCGTCATGGTTGATGCCGGCTAGACATTCTCAGGAGGAGCTAGTCCATTCTCTATGCAGAAGACAGATGTTGGGTGGGAATGTAAGAAGACTCCAAGTGTGGCCGTCTTTCCCGTTAGGTCCGGGGGGAGGTATCACCCCTGGAGAGGTAGCGAATCAGGATAAACAGCCTTGATGTGTGTGTGGGGGATTATGATTTACTGACAGGTGCTCATACACCTAAGGAAGAGGCAGACAGCAAGGCTTTGACATGGGAGGGTAGAGAGCGACGCTACAGCATGAGTGATGGGCGATGGTGCGGGCAGCGGCTGGCAGAGGGAACTTTTGGAAGGGCTTGGGTGTAGCCTAGAGCCAGGCGGGTGAGAAGACACTCAGAGCTGTAAATGATGAGGCACTGGAATCCCTACTTGGATTGAAAAGGGTTTGACTTTCATTTCTAAGCGTTCTCTTGATTGGCTAGGGGGCTGCAGAGCCTATACTGCACCCCACCCCCACCCCCACCCCCGACTCCCTATACATATATACCACTAGCCTCTCATCTTCTATGTTTTAAAACCCGTTTTCTCAATATGAATGGCTGATCCTGTTTCTAACGGCCTGCTCCTCAGGGTCTCCACAGAGCTCCGCTATCGAAAACAGCCCTGGGGGTTTGTAAAAACTTTCATCGAGAAGAACTTCTGGAGTGGACTGGAGGACTACTTCCGCCATCTAGGTGGGTGCCACAGACCTCATGTCATCTAGCCTGAACCTTTCCTTGCTGGCTTGTGCAGCTGCTGGCTTCTGTTCGGGAGGGGGCGGGGAATGGGAAACCTGGAGAACATGGGGGTCTCTGAGACCATAAATTGGTTTCATAGGGTGCCTAATTCTGCCCCTGAAATGAGCATCAAGTTTGGTATGTCTGGGGATGGATGTATCTTCCTAGAGACTGCATCTGTAGCTTTGAGACCAATAAGGAGGGTCTGTGATTTTCACCTACTCTCAAGTGAACTTCAGACACTGGTATTGAGTCATCTTATTATAAGAAAGATCTAAGGGCATCCATTTAGGAAATGTGTGATACATCATAAATTATATATACATGGAGGTGCGAAGGTTGGGACCATGGTCCTCTAAGCAAGATTTGGCCTCAAAAATCCTTGGCATGGCCATCTCTGAGGGTCGTCTGCCCACTGGTCCAGCTTCCCAGGGTATGTCTAGGAATATGGTCCTAGTAGAGAGCTGCTTCTGGTGGACGTTACGTTGGGTTGAAGCTATGGGTCTCTGACATGGTCCTTTTGTATCTGACAGAGTCTGAGCTAACCAAAACAGAGAGTACCTACCTGGCTGAAATGCACAGACAGTCCCCTAAAGAGAAGGCCAATAAGTCTTCAGCAGTACGGAGGAGGAAGCGTCCCCATGCCCACCTGCGGGTTCCTCACCTGGAAGAGGTCATGAGCCCTGTCACCACACCCACTGATGAAGATGTGGGCCACAGGATCAAGCACGTGGCAGGTATGTTTGTTCCAGAGGAGAATGGTTGTGAAGATTGGGACCATGGGGAGGAGCTGTATGCCTCTGTCGTGACACATAGATGCACACCCGGTTTGCGCCGTGAGCAGAATTTGTCACTCGTCCCTCACAGACCCACCAAGTGCCTGCCTGCCTGGGCTGTGGACTCCTCTTATATTTCTTCCTCTTCTCACCCATCCTTTCAATCATTATATTGTCTGTCATGGAAACCTGGGTCTCTCCAAGGGACCCAGAGACCATGATTCCAGTGTTTGACGAATCGTGTTTTGCACATGCTTCTGAGTTTTTCCGACCTGTGTGAGGACTGGAGAAGACCACTGTTTCCCATGCACTCCTCATTCCAGCCTCAACTAGAGCACACCATTTGTGTTTTAGTTATGTGTTTCAGATATAACATTTGTGATGAATGTCACATTTAAGTAGACTGACTGAGAGAAGTTACATGTCTTGCCCTGATGTCATGTAGCTGATTATGAAGCCAGAGCTGGGAGCCCGCTGCCTCTAGCCTGTCTTCATCAGCCAATCACATCTCTATATCCTAGTTACATAGCTACGTTTTCTCCTTCGTTCAGTAATTATCTGACCCAAGCCTTGACTTTGCAGATTTTACCTCCTCATGTTGTAGGGCGAGGTGTAAGCACAAGGCCGCTGAAAGCCTGATGCACCGTTCTCAGCAGTGTGTGGACTTGTGGACCGTGAAGATGATGGTGATGATGATGGCCTGTTTATTCTCCCACAGGTTCTACGCAGACGCGGCATATCCCCGAGGACACTCCCAACGGTTTTCACCTACAAAGTGTGTCCAAGCTGCTGCTGGTTATCAGCTGTGTGTAAGAGACTCCAGGTCCTCCTCCCCTGGCTCCACCATCTCCCTGCTCCTGCCTGGTGCCGGAGAATCATCCTCATCTCTCCAGCATACGCTCCCCTTTACTTTTACCCCTCTCTCCTCTTGGTTCCTGTGTCTTTGCGTCTTCTCAATACTTCTTGTGTATTAGCCTTCTAAGGGGAAAATGGTGTATTCAGTATCTATGCCAAGTGAGTGAGAGAGGCAGAACGCTTAGGATCCCTCCTCACGATAAAGGCTGACTGACATAGGGATGCTTCAGGACATCTTAAGAGTCCATTAATTTATAAGAGGTCCTCTTGAGTGTCTGCTCTGTGCTCAGCATGAGAGCCATACACAGAGTCCTTACGGGCAGGGTAGCCAGACAAAATCAATGGTTCCAGTCCAGGGAGAGCAGATGCTTATTACAATGTAGGTGACTTATAATTAGCACAGCATTATAAAACCGTAGATTCGATATCTTGCGCAGTAAGTTGAATTAGGGAGATATGAGAAGCCAAAAGACCTGAAGGCATAAGATAGGAGAACACAGCTGTCTGGTGTGTGAGTCCTTGTCTGTCATCAATGCCCAGGACATGCTAAACCATTTGAATGAAAGGCCTTTGGAGCAGCCGAGGACAGCTTTTCTGCTTGGCTTGGCCTGCAGCCTGGCATCCCATTGCTCTGGATTGGGGATGAGCCGTTAGCATGGAGATGGCCCAGGTGGATGAGAGGCATGGCAAAGACCCACATGGCCTGCTCTATCTTCCGTACACCGGGCACCAGACCACCTCGGGGGTCAGTTTTGCCCCTGTGACCCTCCTGTACTTCTCCCTGAAGCATCCTCAGAGGGATGTGAGGGGACATCCTCACTCTCAGGACACTCTGGGGGAAGCTCACAGGTGGCACAGTGAGACCAGCACTGTGTCGGTACGGGGGATGGATTAACACAAAGACTGGAAGCAGTGTGGGTGCTTCGGGTGACGTGCATCAGAGGGGTCACCAGACGAGAGGACCGCGTGGTTAGGAGAGGTCACAGATGGAAGGGCTCAGTAACCCTTCGGTCATGTCTCAGAGGAAGACCTGCTGCCACCAGGGACTACAGGGGCTTGTGTCCACGGAAATTTGGAGTTTAATTGAAAGTGGTCAGAGAAGACATGCCAAAGGCCCAAACTGTCTGAGCTGCAATGGGTTATCTGGTTGAGGAGGACAGGCCTTTGCTGCTGTCCCCGGGCCTGGCCCTTAGGAGACAGAGTGAAGCTATGGGTATCAATGAGGCCATCCATGCAGAGGGTGACGGAAGCGGGGCCCGGGACTGCCCTGTGGCTCCCGAGAGGAGAAAAGCCTCTAAGTGGAGAACATAAGAAGGGTTCCGGCTACTCCTGAAGGCACAGCATGCAAACATATGTAAGTTCTTCAGAGGATAGCGTGAGAAACCATGACATGACAGCAATAAGGACAGAGACAACTATAAAACTCACCCTTCAAACACCAATGTAATGGGATTCATGTCACTGTTAAAGCCAGGTGATGGATACTGGTAAATAAGAGACTAGAAGCTTGGCTAGTTCTATATTTGTGTTCTCTCTGCATTTCAGTTTTATTTAAAGAGAGAAGGCCCGCCCACTCAAGGGGGCCAGTCCCTTAAGTGTGGGCTAACTCTGTGCCTTTGTAAGTTTAGGATAGTCGGGCCTTCTGACTCAACACCGTGCACTCCAGGCTGGCGTTCTAATAGCCTGCGTTTAGAACGCACTGACACAGCACAGCTTACCCATGTCTGGCAGGCTCTTGCCATCATCCACCCTCAGTGTGGTGACTCAACCTCCCACAAACCTCTTTGTCTCTGTTTGGCACACTGGGGAGTCTTCCCTCAGACAGCCCATGACCTTTCCTTAAAACACCCGGGATTGTATACCCAAACCCAAATGTAAGGTGGGATGCGGCACATGCTGAGGAGGTGGGCGCTCAGATGATTCAGCGTGTGCTCACATAGTTAGAAGCCGGTGTCGCAGCTCCACGCAAAAGCGGAATGTTCTCACGGAGAACGTAGGCTAGCCCCCGGGACCTGCAGCTGACAGAAGAGGAACACTAGAAAGACGTCCGCCCGGCGCTGCTTTTAGACAAACGCTGTGTCCTGAGACACAGTCTAAATCGCCTATGATTTCTTTCCATTGTTGGCCCCCTTTCCACTTACGACGTGCCTTCCCAGTTTGGCCGGCTTCTCTCTTCCTGTGTCTACCTGTCCTTCCCGAATCCTTTCACGTTAAGAACCAGCTCTACCGGGTGGTGGTGGCGCACGCCTTTAATCCCAGCACTCGGGAGGCAGAGGCAGGCGGATCTCTTTGAGTTCGAGGCCAGCCTGGGCTAGCAAGTGAGTGCCAGGAAAGGCGCAAAGCTACACAGAGAAACCCTGTCTGGAACAACCAAAAAAAAAAAAGAACCAGCTCTTAAGGTGGTCCTACTGCTGTAGGTTATGTTCCTCTCCATCCACAGAACAACCCCCGCAGGTTAGGACCGATGTCCCTGGCGAGAAAACAGTTTCAGGATATATGAGAAACTTATGGAAGTTCAGAAAGATTTCTAAGTTACGCACTAAGATTCACCCCCAATTCTGCCTGTCTCAGGATCTCCTCCGCATCCCTGCCTTTGTCTCTGTCCTGTGGGCTTCTGTCACAGAACGGCTTAGGCAGCCACTGAGGTAGAGAGAAGGGAATTTGCTCAGCCTCCTCCCTGGTATCTCCCCCCCCCCTCTTCCCACCCTTGTTATCCTTGATCCTCTCTGCTTCTGATCCCTGCAAGACAGTCGGTAAGCACAGGGAGAAGACACTGCAGCCTCAGGGAGGTACCAGTACCCATAAGGCATAGCAGTTGCTCCTTTAGTCCAGCCCTTCCGGTATGGCGTGACTTGGGGTTGATGGAAGAGTCTCTCGATTTAGCACCCACGGAAAACTACGAGTCTGCCACTACCCCCCCCCCCCCCCCCCCCGCCCCATCCTTCCTTGCCTGGCCTCCTCGTCCATCGTGCCTTTGCCTCTCGTGTTTTTTTCTCGTCCATGTTCACTTGCTCTTGGCTCTATTGAAGTGCGTTTCCTCCTCCCCCACACCCCCGTTTCTAACCTCTGCCTCCTCCTCATTTTTCTTCCTTGCTCCCATTAGGATCTGTTTCAGGTACCAGCTCTACAATTGTTCCCTTTACCTCATCCCTCTTCCTCTCCACCTACGCCGTTTTCCCTCAGGCACCCAGATTCGGGTGCCCGTCCCCTCCATCCCCCACCAGTGCCTTCAATACCTTTGCTTATCTCCCTCTCCATGGCTCTCCTGCTCCGTCACTGACCCAGTAGACCAGGCTGCTTCTCTTTCTCTGACCATTGGTACACACCTTCAACTTCCTCACCCCCTCTCTGGAATGCTTGGGTTGGCCCAGCAGGCAGGCACATGGTCTCATGGGTAGGCGGGAAGATTGCTGGCCCAGATTCTATCTCACTGTCCTTGGCTTTTCCCTGTGTCTCCCTCCCTAGTCTGGTGCTGCTGGTCATCCTTAACATGATGCTCTTTTACAAGCTGTGGATGCTGGAATACACCACACAGACCCTCACTGCCTGGCAGGGTCTCAGGCTCCAGGAAAGGTAATATCGACCTTACCTCTTTGTCCCCATCTTAACCCTACCCAGCTGTCTGGGACTGCTCCATTGCCTGTGCTCAAGGGACACCCCTTTGAGATGAGTCTGTAGTCCAGTTCTACAAGTCTGTCCTTAGAGTTTCAACCTAAGTTTGAGGGCAGTGGGGACCCCGGGGCATTGAGCAGAAGAGAAAGCACCCTGATGTGACTATCCTTTGGGAGCACAGGCCAGCCCACTGAGCATAACTCCAGCTGTTGGGGACCCCTTCTTCTACTCCACAGGTTACCCCAGTCTCAGACAGAATGGGCCCAGCTATTAGAATCCCAACAAAAGTACCATGATACCGAGCTCCAGAAGTGGAGGGAGATCATCAAATCCTCAGTGATGCTCCTTGACCAGGTGAGATGCTCACAGTCCCTCATCTTTTTTTTTTTTCGAGACAAGGTTTCTCTGTGTATTTTTGGAGCCTGTCCTAGAACTCACTCTGTAGCCCAGGCTGGCCTCAAACTCACAGAGATCCGCCTGGCTCTGCCTCCCAAGTGCTGGGAATAAAGGCGTGCACCACCACTGCCCGGCAGTCCCTCATCTTTAGGATGCTGAGCTCCTTTCCTCCTATACTGAGAAGTGTCACCATGTTCCCTCGCCACCCTTCTGATGTCCTCTTCCTCTTTATTATTATGCTGGCCCATCCTTTGGTTTGCTTTTAATGCTATTCCTTAATGAAATATTAGAAACATAAGAAACAATAACAAAGTAAGAGATAGATTAATAGCCAGAGGGTTGTAGGACAGACTTGGGTTGTTTTTTGTTTTTTTTTTTTTTTTAATAGAGAAATGCTGTATAGTAATTTGTCTTCCCAGAGGATGTGTATATTAAACTTGAGGGGCCAGTGAGATGGTTCAGCTGTTAAAGGTGCTTACCACCAAACCTGGCAGCCTGAGTTTTATCTCCAGGTGGAAGGAGAGACTCCTGCAAGTTGTCCTCCCACCTCCTCATGTACCCTCCTCATGCACAGAACAGAAATGGACCCCTTTCCCCACCTGACGAGCTGATTTAGAAGAACCAGAGAGACCAAAGCAGTAGATGGTGCAGAGACCAGGAGATATCCCATGTCATTGTAACAGAGTAGCTTACTCAGACAGCATTTCCACAGGCTGCTATGTGATGGACCATTTGAAGATTCTCCAGCCGGAGCTGCCCCTTTTGGACCTCATCCCATGACCCCAGAATATTAATTTCCTGCTATGGAGCTGGTCAAGAACCTGCCTCCCCTCTGCTTGACACCCTCTGTGTATGCCTGCAAAGGGCCGGATGGTTTTAGTTCCAAGAAACGGGAAGTGAAACAGCTCGTGATGAGGCAGCCAAGAGACCCTGTGTGTCTGACAGGCCGGGAGGCAAAGGAGGACCATGACCATAGAAAGTTTGTGTTGTTTCTGGTCCTTTCCAGCTAGGTGAAATTGGCGCAGGGAAACTGGAAAGCATCCCAGGCCAGGAGAAAGATAGGCAGAAGGTATATTCAGGATCAGAGTTGATGGTCAAGAAAGTGGTAGTGTAAGATGGCTCCTCAGAGTGATTGGAGACTTGTAATTCATTGATAAAAAGAGTTGCAAATAACCAAACCCAAGGGATTTCCAGTGCTGGACTGGCTGAGCCCTTCCTGCTGTACGCTGAGGCTCCTGGGAGCCACCTTTGCAGACCTAGTATCTGTTGGCTCTGCGGCACGGTCAGGGGTGGGCCACAGATGGATGTGGGAGCTGCAGCTTTGTGGACATTCACTGAGAGCACACTGTCTTACAGATGAAGGATTCACTCATCAACCTTCAGAATGGCATCAGGTCCCGAGACTACACATCAGAAAGCGACGAGAAGAGGAACCGCTATCATTGACAAGGCAGGACCAGGGGTGGCTGCAAGAGGCCTGTGCAATACATGTACATAGACCCTATAAATATATATAAATATATATATATACAGAATATAAATATATATTATATACAGATTTTAAAAAAAGAGATAATGCCTATGTACCAGGGAGAAGGAGCGGGAACTCCCGCCCCCTGTGCCGGCCAGAGCAGCGTTTTCCCTCTACTGTGGAGGGACTGAGGAGGGCAGGGACCACCTCTCAGCACCAACCTCCCCTGATCCTCCTCCTCCTCCTCCCATCTTCTGTTCCTCACCCCTTCCCTTGCTGGCCATTCTTGGCCCTCAGAAGGGAAATGTGGCTGAGCCAAAGTTAATGCCTGTGAAGACCCTTGGGTCTTCAAAGACGTTTCAAGAGGGCATTGCTTAAGGTGCTTCATTCCCTAACCCTCTTTTGATTTGTCTCTAGAATAAAAGAGAACCTGTTCTTCCCCCACCCAGTGCTTCCCCAGGCCTTCTCTTGGGAACAGGAAGAATGGAGAGGGCAGGAGCCCCATCCAAAGTCCCCCAGGAGACCATTGGTTAGGACCACACTGAAAGCCAGGTGGCGAGGACTGTGACAGAGGCTGCGATGGTGGGGCCTGGGCCGTGGGGCTGCAGGCTCCTGGGCTCTGGCATCTGAAGGGAATTCTCCTCAGCCACCCCCACACCTTCTTCTGACCCGAGTAGGGTGTGGACCCCACAAGGGCTGGGAATTTCTCACTCTCCCACTCCCTTTCTCTCTGGTCTTCTCCCGGGCTGGATCTGGGGGAAGTGTCACTTTTTAGTGCCTAAAGTCCTATTGTTTCTCTGTGCCCTAAGAGCACATTGTTTCTTAGCCAGGGTGGAGCCTTTTTGACCTTGTTTAAAAAAACAAAAAACAAAAAACAAAAACCTCTTTTCGTGGTTATAAACCAGTCAGGTCTGTGGCTCTAATCTTTCCCTTTGAGCTGTGAGTTTGATGTCCAGGGTAAGTCAGGGTATCCTAGTCCCCCCCGCCAGGCTTTAGGAGACAGAGAACAATCTAGAAACATGGATTGCAGGGCTTGCCCAGAATCCCGTATGAGTAGTGAGCACAGTAGTCAAGCCACTCAGAGGGCTAACAGCATCATTTACTCTTGGTTAAGAACCAGCATTAGCAACAGAGGCAGCCGGGTGCCACTGTGTGTGGGAAAACGTATGAGCCACCAGAGGGAGGATTTGGAGCAGATGTGTATGTTTGGTCAGAGAGAGGCCAAGGGAAACCTGGCCCCCCGAGAGCCACCTCAGTTCTATGTTTCTCAGGTTTAGGAGTGGGGGTTCTCTGCAAGGTGTGTGTGTGTGTGTGTGTGTGTGTGTGTGTGTGTGTGTGTGTGTGTGTGTGTGTGTGCAAATCTCTTCCTAGTGTCTGGCCCCAGTGAGTATAAAGTCACCAAGAAATAAGAGGAAGATGCTACGTCAGGAACTTGAACCAGCCAGGGCCTTCTTAATGTTAGCCCATCAGGACTCAGGCTTTTATATGATCTCAAGGGGCCCTTCTGGGCGGATTGATCATCCTCCCTTACAGTATCCACTGCTCTTCCATCTAATGGCTCAAGGAATCCTGCCAGCCCCAGGCAGAGCTCATGGAGATCCACAGTAGTAAAGAATTGTTGCCAGGTTGGCGCAAACGCATCTCGAAGCTTGCCGTTTCTCCTAGGCTTCTCAAGGTGAGAGGAAGAAGGAACACCAGATTTCCCAGAGCATCAGTACGAAGCAGGCAAGACAGTGCTGGTTATCTATGCCAAACAGAACGTCACTTGCTCCTCTTAGAATTGTCTGAGCATTCTAAGGGCAGTGGAAGGAAGGCATTGATGTTGCAGTGTCCTGGAGAAATAGGGCCTGGTATTTCTTGAAGGGCAGAATCAGACAGCTGGATATTTCCCCACATCGTTCTCTGATGAAGGGGAAGGCAGGCTCAGTGCTTAGCTAGCACTCTAATGGGAAATGCAGGGGTGAGGAAATGGATTTATCTGTTCTTCTAGAGCGGCCAAGGCCCAAAGTTGTTGTTCAGGGTTTTGAGAGATTTGCTGGTGATGGTCAAGACCCACGAGCCCTGAGACGAAGAAGAGAGAATGGTACCATTTGAAATGCTAGGCAGTTTCCCCTTGGAATAGCCAGAAGCCAAAAGAATTCCCAGAAACTTTTTGGAAGCAAAATTGGAAATTCTCAGATCTATCGCATACGTAGTTATTTACTTAAGCTGAATTGTTAAAGTAGCTGTGGATCCTTTCGGGTGATTTCAAAGAGTTCATTGGGGGTAAGGGGGCCAGGAAAGTAACAGAAGTAGCCCTGCCAGAGAGAGCTGTTTTCTTTGGCCTGCAGTATCATTTAGGGAGGAGAACACCTAATTTGTCATCGAGAGCCTCCTGCTTTCGGATGAGCCCAGATGCTATGTACTCATAAGGAATGGCCCCTAAGCATCACAGCTTTCTTTTGAGTTACTTTCGTGTTAGCATTAGCTCGGGCATTCACTTTTAAACCAGGAAGAAACTAACAACTCAGTTTATTCCCACACAAAGTCCTCTCCCCACCCTCAATCAATACTTCGTGAAAGAGAAGGGAACTCACCCTTGCAACAAAAACAGGTACCCTGGCCAATAGCCTGGTAAGTGGCTGTCCGTCTGCAGGAGGTCATGGAAGCTGGCATGCCTTGGGTGACTTCATCCAGCTGGCAGGTTTTGTCTATTTATTTATCGTAGATACATATTGATCTCTCTATATGGATTTGTTCGTCAATGTAGTTTCACTGGACTAAGAGTGGAGCGGCCTGGACTTGAGTTCTGACGGTGTTGTTGAAAAATTGTGTGGCCTTGCTTGGTTAAGTCCCCGTCACTGAGCTTCAGGATCCACTTGCAACAGGCGAGGGTCAGAAATTACCTGTAATGTGGGTTCTAGGTTTGAGCTTGACTCAGAGATTAGGCCAGAGACTAGTGAGATTTGGACTTTCCAGTTTTGGAAGATGTTTTTCTAGGACAGATGAGCTTTGTTCTTGGCTAGGAGGTCGAGGGGGCCCCAGTGACAGGGATAGCCTTGCTCAGTGTTAACCCAGGAGAATGTTCCTTCCTCCTTTGGCCTGGTTTTTGTTTGGAATTGGTTTGTGCTTAAAGGAGGATCGCAGCAAGAAGAGTATCATTTTGGACAGAGTCCATCTTCCATCTCCAGGCACTGTGAATCCTTTCTACTACTGTCCACGCTGTCCATGCTCCTTCCTCAGTGATGGAGGACACAATGGGAAGAAGCCATTCCCAGTTTCTAGAACTTCTGTTTTGCTCAGCCAAAACCCTGTTGTGGTTTGGATAAATTAGGAAACTCTTGCTAAAATCCTCGGCTTGCCTTAGGGCACTGGACTGGCATCAAGGAGTGGGGAGCACCAGGGGACCTCACGAGGAATTTGCCACAGATGGATTCTCTACTTGTCCATAGCCCCTCACCTATGCTGGGACTGGCCTGTTATTACCACAGACAGCATCTGTAGGATGAGGTGTTGGGGAAACAACTGGCTAGGGGAAGACTCTCTCTGGACGATACGTGCTCCCAGAAGGGTCCTTTCTGTGCCATACCATGCCACTTCGTTAGCTCTGCGGGACAGCCAAAGCCAGCCCTTCTCAGGAGGGCCTAGGAGAAATAGCAACTCTTCTCTCCTTCCCCCAGGTGGCAGGGCTGTGGTGGCCCTTCCTACACACCTGGACTCTGCCTGCCCTCTCCAGGACTCTGTCCCTCACCCCAACCCCGTCCCTGTCTCTAAGCTAGGGGGCAATCGTTCCTGTTTTCCCTTGGCCATTCTCAATCCCCGTCCCCCCACCCCACCCCACCCCCGCCCCCACTCCAGCAGGCTGACCCCACTCCTTTCCATCTCCAAGTCTTCTTCCAGAAGATGCATTTGGGTCTCAGAGGAGTGTTTTCTGGAAGGCCATCTTTCAACATCCCTGCATTCCTGATATGAATCAGGAATTGGTACTTGGTGTAGAGAGCTAGCTCCCTCTCCCACCTCTCTGCCCAGCCTCGTTACCTCACTCCTGCTCCAGCCATTGTGATGGGCTCAGCCAGCTCCCTGTTCTGATGTGCCCTGCAACAGCTCAGGGGTCTTGTGACTTGGAGGTCCTCAGCAGGCCTGGGAGCCCGGATTGGAGCCTTGGCTGCCGGTGAGAAGCATTTACCTGCCAAGATTTGCTGATGCCAGACGATCTCCCCAGCATGTGAATGCTTAATGGACATTGTCATCTCTGCCCTTTGGTCCTCCTTGCTTCTCTCAATACAATAAGACACCTCAGAAGCAAAATGGCGGCCCTTGCTCCAGGCAGGACATCAGGCTGTCTGGGGAGTTGGCCCTGGGCTTCTGTGTTGTGTGCAAAGACTGCACAGTACAACAGTCACTTTTGCCAACAAGAATGTGTGGCACCCCACGTCCCCTTACCTTGCACTCTAGGGCCAGACCACTCTCTGCATGGACCAGACCATCTTCCCAAACCCATGGTGCTTTTTTTTCCCCCCCTCACTCAACCTACACTCTGAGGTGGGGAGGGATGGATCAGAGGCCATAGTGGCCCCATGGATAATCCTGACACATGGGGTGGAGCAGGGTGAGGCAGAGGGCGCAGCACCCAACACCTGCACTGGGCCACAAGCGGGAAAGAACGCAGGTTGGTTGCAGTCGAGTTGTCTGGCCGTCTGTATTCGGATCTACAACTGTACTTTGCCTGGCGCTGTGCGCAAGGTCTGAAAACTTACTGCTAGTCCCTAGACACATACAAGGCTACCCAGCCAAATCTTAATGTAAAGTACTAGAGCCATGGAAGTCCAGTAGGAATTAAAGGAAAAAAAAAAAGTATTGAAGTACAAATAACAAATGGTGTGTGTGTTTATTGCTTGGTCCTTCGGTAGTCCGCATCCCCGGTGCTTCTGATGTCCCTAAATAACGCTCACAGCAAAGTCATGGAAGCATGCATGTGCTGGCATGTTGCCCACATACGGGCCTCCATCTCAGGAAGGGGAGCAGCCTGATTGAATGGAATGGCTCGGGTTTTGAATTTTTTATCGTTTATTTAGCTCATGTTCATTATTTCTTATTTTTTGACAAGTTCATACAGACTTATAAAATGTATTGTGATCTTATCCATCTCCGTTACCCTCTCCTATCCCCCTCCCACCCTCCTGTCTTTTTGTAACTCACTGGGTTTAACGAGGTTGCTTGTATAAGCGTGGGTCGGGGCGCTGCCTACTGAAGCCCGGGCAACTCGTCATTGGCTACACCACCGAAGAAAACTCCTCTCTCTCCACAGTAGATCCTCAGGGAGGGGTAGGGCCTCGTGAGCTCCTACCCCATCCACGATGGAATGAAAGGCCCAGTCTTGCTCAGGTCTTCAGCAGCTGCTGTGTGATCATGACCAGTGGTCAGACAGCACTCAGTTCTCTCTGGGTCCTACAGTTGTTCTACTCCTTCAGTATGTCAAGAGCCTTGGAAGGGAAGAGTTTTAACTGTCACGCCTGAGTACACACTAAGTGTCACTAGTAACCAGTAGTGTGGCCATGGGTCCCATCTGTCATTCCAATCCTCAGTGTGTAGGGATAATGTCTTTCATAAAGAAATGCATGCGTATCTCTTAGTATGGTAGCTGGAACTGTACTACAATAATTTTAATCTTTACATATTTTTAAAAGCTTTAATTATATGTATATGTTCGTGTCTGTGTTCTTATATGAGTATAGGTGCCTTTGGATGACATGAGAGGGTGTCAGATCCCCTGGAGCTGGAGTTACTAGGTGGTTGTGAGCCATCTGACATGGATACTGGAAACTAGACTGGGGTCCTCCAGAAGAGCCACAAGCACCCTTAACCACTATGCT